ACAGACTGTGAAGCTTTGTGTTCAGCTGCACATAACATTCGTCTTCCGACTGCTTCGAGATCACGATAACTGATTTTCACGCACCCCGCAATATTTTCTGATCGGGGTTGCGAATCGTGGGGAAAATAAAAATAAGTAATTATTGCGATTTTCTTTAATACCTGTGCACCGCCAATGTATTAATTTGAAGTGTGTGGTGGTGTGGCACTATGCCCTGTGGCCCAGTGCTGGGTTGGTGGCTGCGCTCCAGATGAAAGGAGCGCAACCACTCATCTTGTGTCACGTGCACCCAGTGTTGCATCTGGCCTCGTGTTTTCGAATCCCAACACAAGCAGAGTAAATTACAAACGCATGCAGCTTCAGAGATATGAAACCATCAGATTCCAAGCTGCCTTTTCAGTATATAGGCATGGAGAATGGAGTGTGTAAAAATACTAAATATACATTAAACAAGTTGAATTAAACAAATGTATTGAGATCGTTTTATATGTACTGTAGATGCTATAAAATCGATTATTTTTTATTAAACGAGAGGCATACTTTTAAGCATCGTGCATATGTTTTTTGTTTATAATGTGATTATGGTGCACTGGTGTCACGTATATGCCGTTTCTATTGACCATTTGGAATAGCAGGGTCTTCCCCTGAGGTTAAGTTGACTATCCTATTCCTAAAACCTTTTTTTACAATTTTCTATATTAACGAACACAGTACAGTACTCTATATGTTTATATACAAACACATAGTACATTTTTTTACGATCCATAGATTTGTACACACATTTAAAACAATCAGCCAATGTGAACGATGCCAAACAGTTATTCAACAGCTGCAAATCATACATTTTCTTTGAACTTCCATACACAGCAGCCACTAACCTTACAATTTTTTTTAAAGTCTGATTGGTCAGAAGTAAAGGAATTTTTCAGGAGAAACCCTCCAAATGATTGTCCCAGTTGATGGATGCCCCTAGGGACGAGATTTTAGAGCCATAAAACTGCAGCCCTGCGTGCTCTTTACCTACAAAGCCAAGGGATTCCGTAGCGCACAGCTCTTTCAAAGCGCAGCCCCAGTGCCCGCAAGCTTTTCTTCCAAATGGCAATGGAGTTCAGTCGCTTTTTGATCTCACAGATATAATGCACTTGTTTTGAAAACAATAAAAAAAAAATTCTTAAATGTTTGTTATGTATAAAATGAATTCTAAATTCCAACGCTTCTGAATTGCATAATTTATTCTCGCGCTTGTTATCGCTTACGAAATTTGACTGCTGCATATTGTAAATAGATACATATATACCCTCGCCACTGTTCCATTTGCGATATAATGCAGCAAATTATATTTCCTCCAAGGATATTTACCTCCGATCACATTTAACTAAATACCTACTGTTATATACAGGCAATGAAAGAACAACTGTTTGAATATTTGAAAACATTAATTGCCAAGATAATGATTCCAAAGATGAATGTGGCATGTCATGTTTTGAGAACGATGTTGTAGTTTACTCAGAAACTGTGCAGTATTAAAATGTAAATTCTTAAAATACTAAAACATTTCATTCAAATTTGTACTACAGTCGACTGTAATTTGACTAGATCCAACTCTAATAACCTGACTGTAACTTCCATGAAGTTCACTAGAGTTTACGAGGTAATTGCCAGTCAATTATTAATCAAATGCTAAATAATATAGTTTATGTTCATCAATGGGCCAACATTAAAACGTAACTAAGCATTAACAGTCACAGGTGAATAAGGTTACGAACAACATCCACACATAAAATCACTTTTTGGGGAAAGAGATTTCAAGGGCCATTCAAAGATGTCACCACAATCTAGTGCAGCAGTAAGATCAACAATGCCCTGTGCATTCCAGCACCCACTGTCGAGCGAAGGTTTTTCCGAGATCCTAGAGCATTTAGGTCACCGTTACTCCCTATAGGAGGTAAGGCAATACTAATGCGATGCATTACTGCACAATACTGGTTGAATTATTTAGTGGCCCTGCTCGATTTACAGAAGTGTTTCTGCCCTTGATGGTATAAGACATCATGCCCCTTGTTTAGCAAAACCAGTTTACACAGCCTTAATGACATTGTTCATTGTTGTAATGCTTTTTTTTCTGAATGGTCATAGATATGCTTTAAAGGCTACGAAAAACACAAGGCCACACAAAATGAACGCGCAAACACGACACGGGTGTGTAGGCTCACATTGGGTAGAAAACAGCTTCGTCAACCCTGACCACACACACACACCAGCAGCCACTGCACTTCAGCTAAAGAAACCAATACGAGTGAGTACAAGTTGAAGGCCTTCGATCACGAGAAATCGCATTTGCATTTGGCTACTGATGCGGTTGTTGTAGAATTCAAACTACGAGGCACCGCTTTCATGTGAATGGCTCTAGTGGCGACTAATAGAGACCTCACTCAGTCCAGCATGCCAGGAGCACGTAAGGAGTGGGTTCAGTGTCTCCTCCGTTGCATTTCGAGTGTATTTTGGCTGCTTTGTTTCTGGCTGCCATAAATGTCCACATGATTAGCCACTTCGGTGAGCTATCATTTGTGGCCATGTCACTTCTGAAAAGAGATATGGAGCTCAGTGGGCCTTACCTGGTCAAATAAAATAAAATAAATTGTTTAGTAAAAGTTTTAAAGTGATGCTGAATTGCCTGCTGGCCAGAACGTGCCACAGGCTCCTCACACACCCTGACCATTGAGCAATGCTCATAAATAGCAAGCACGCTGTTGGGTGACCAAGCTGGCGAGACTCTTAATTTCCTGAATTAAAATAAGTTGATTTAACTGGGATGTATTCGTTTCTTTGCGTTAAATTATTTATCAGTCATCCCGCATACCGAGGCTGCAAGAGAACACGTACTTCCTTCAATAGAGGGCAGCACCTCCCTTCTCATCGAGCCCATTAAGGTACTCGGCAGAGGTCTTCTGAAAGGACATCCCGCAATTATCCATACCCCCAAATTGTCAGCTTTACATATAATGGAGCACAAGAATGAGATTATGAAAATGACAGTGCTGTACTATGGTGATTCTGCAAACCAAACCGTGCAACACCCTGCCAGACTCGCCTCCTTGCATGGCCCAGTTATAACCTGAAAAGTTAATTAAGAGTCTTCAATGGGTACAATTTTAAAGACAAAGGCGACTATATATTCTTGGGTCTTTCGATAAAGTCACGTAGATAGGTTCAAATAAAATAAAAACCAAAAAAATACTTATTTTTTCTTGATGACGAACGCTTGTTTTGCGATCGAAACATTGTAGTTTTTTTATTTTCTTTGAACCTACGTGACTTTACCGAAATACCCAAGAATATGAATTCCTGTAGTCACGAAAGCTATAAGTCAAGATTTAAGGGCGAGTATATTTAACATATTACAGTTAAAGTCGTGTCAGAACAAGCACTGCAAACTCAAGCTGCTAGTTTCCTGGTCTAACTTTTTTTTTTAAATAAGCATGCCTATGAAAGTGATGGCCAGGAGATAACCCAGTTTTGAAAAGAATGAAGGCAAACAGTGTTTTCTCGTTGGTGATTCTGCGAGTCATTTCGATTGCACAATTTCTGCAGACGTAAAAGAGCGAGGATTGAGTCTTCGTTTTGTTCAGGACAATGCACTGATTTCCGGAGCTTACTTTCATTGACGGTGTGCAGTTGCCAAGCAAAAGCGCTGTACAGGGCTAGTGACATTCGTGTACAGCGATACTTAATCCATTTTTGTCGAGGACAAAGTTATGAAATGCACTAAAACAACCACGTAGCAAACTGTATTTTACTTGAATTGTAAATGTTGTGGGTTTACTCTCCAACACACCAGTGTGCTGAACTAGTAATTGTCATGTTTTGTTTATGTAACCCTTACTAATTGGCTGTGGCGGGTTTAACGACACATTTATATATTTCCGCGATCTAACCAAAAAAACCTGCATTATGGATGTATTTTTACACCGCGGTAACAAATACATGCAATAAAAAATATATTTCTTAATGTAATGTAATATTTATAACGCATCAATGTGTACATTAAAAGATCAGCCAAACCAATGTATCGTAACCACGTGCCCGGTGCAGACGAGACTTGCTTTGCTCATTGCCAGCGCCATCATTTGCAGAATGTATTGGCTATGAGAAGCACCTGTGTATCGCCTAAAGGTGATGCCAAAACAACTTCCCAGAGTAGTTCCTCCTCATCCATCACAGTTAGCGTGAACACAAAACCCACGCTGGTTTTCACGAGAATCTAAACATCCTGCAAGCGTTCCATATTTAAACGTCCTATTATGAACATGCCGTACCAATGACACGGCTCCCTTTTCATTAGTGTCAACAGAAGGAACAGCAGTAAAGATATTTCTACCATTGAGAATGGATTCGTAGTTACAAATTGGAATTGTGTGCGTGATCTACGCATACTGCCTCCACTGTCTGCATGTTGCCAGGCGAAAACGTCAACAATGCGCTCCTTGTTTCATAGCAGCAGTACTCGGATACAACAATTTATCTTGGGCTCTCACTTCCTCCCCTCTTCAAATGTGACTGCATCATAATTATTTTTTTTACGGCAACATTTCACGAAGTGCAGTGGTACGCCGGAGGGAAACAATACAGATGAACTCTTCATGCTGCAAACCGCAAATAATATATCTCGTGTATTGAAGACACGCACCTACGATGTGTCCAGCAACGGTTGTCCAACAACAGTGATGACGACGTTATTGTGATTTTAAAAGCCTTCAAATGTAAACGCATGATAATTGCACTGTATTGAATGTCCCTCAAAAGTTGACACCTCAACAGTGACACCACTTGAATCTCACCGTATATTTTGCACAGCCTCAAAACACAGGTCTAGGTGGGGTTTTTTTTTACAAAACCTGTTCATTTGTTCTTTTCTCACAAAATGATGGCACAGGTATTTTAAAATGTTGAAAGTGCAGCGCCTCTTTGTGTAAAAATACAGTCAAGAGAATACCACAAGATAAGATTTTACAATTTTTTTTAAAAAATAAAATACAGAGCATAACACGACACAGGTTTTTTTTTTATAGAATATGCTGGTTTATACCAATCTGCTTGTCAAAAATAAAGCACAGGATCCCTCTCCCTCCCTACAGGTTGCAAGTCTATATAAAGCTTCAGTCCGGAACATCCCACTAACACACTACAGTACAGCACAATATAAATAAATATATCAAAAAACTTTTGATTTTTCTTCCAGTCCAAAATAAATCCAAACCAAAAGTAAACACATTATGTTAGCTCTGAAACAGGTTTACTTGAATATATATCCCCAAAGCAAAAAAAGGATATAATATTTAGGTATTATATCCATTCATACACATTCAATTTTAAAAGCAAACGAACCTTCAATTGAAAAACATTCTAAATTGAAAAATAATCCACCCTAATTACAAACATGAGGATTTATTTTTTTACTTTACGCTGTACAAAACCAAGTGTTAGACTATGAACAGTTCAAAGTACAGTTACAACACTGGTATCAGCAATAGCAGCTGTGCACAAGAATTTAGAATCGTTGTTTTACATGGAGATACCAACCCAACCTCTGAAGTTACTGTCTACAAGGCAGTACTAAAGTTAATGGACAACTGTAAGTATGATTCTAAATACTGACACAGCCTCGAGAAGGTGGAGGATAATAAAGTCTGGCATAGCCAGAAGAAAAATGGAATGATACAATGTCTTTCAGTCGTGTCCCGAGCACAACAGAACAGCTGCCAATACTGAATTATGCAACCGATTACAGATGCTCTTAAGGAACCATCCATTCAGGGGTGTTTAAGGCCCATTGACGATACTGATGTTTCTTCACACCAAATGGTCACGGCCTTAGTCTTAGCAGTACATCCGTAATGAGTGAACCATGAACTGATCTCCTGTCTTCACTCCCCAATGTCATATAACACTTCGTCTCCATAATATTCACAGGAAACTAATGAAAGTCGACTACATCCTCTGTACAGTTTAACTTTGAAATTGAGCACATTGGTTATTTCGGGACAAATAAAATACTTCTGTTACACCTTCACCAAATCGACGACGATCTGTGTTGGGGAAGCACAATGTCATTTTGCCAGTATTTTGTTGTTTTGAGCATTTCTCAGCTCAAGCTCCTCGAGCTTTTTCCACAAGTCTTCTCGGTCCTTCTCCTTTTTCTTTTCACTATAAAAGAAACAAGTGAATTAATATTAACAAATGCAATGCTAACATTTCAAACTCGTGAAGCAGGCTAAAGGGTAATCTTTAAATGCTGAAAGTGGCCACTAGGTGTCAGAAATGAATGGTATGCTGAGAGTACTGAATCTCGGTTAACGGAGTACAGTAAAAAGCCCCCTGGTGTCGCCGGATGCTCACCGCTGCCGGTCGGCCTTGAAAGATGCAGTCAGCTCATCGAACAGCTGGCTATTCATCTCCATGAAGGACTTCAGGACGTTGTAAACTAGCGCAACAATTGTCCTGGGAACAACAAAAATACACAATGAATTGTATTCCATCTCTGAAAATGTACCAGCAACAAAGGATCGTGATATACTCCAATCTAACTTACTGGTTCCAATGCTCCTTAGAAATCCTGTAGAGATTTGGGAACATGATGGGTAGGATCACATTGGAATTCTCCTCTATGAGGCTCATTATGTACTCATTGTTCCAGTAGTACAGGGCTCTTTCAGCAACCTAGAAGTGCGGTATGAATCAGAACATCAAGGTTAAATGTCCGAGGGGTCAATAACACCAGCAACTCATGCCACTGTGCTTATCATGGGATGCAGCACCATAGCAAATAAAGTGATTTTATTCACTTAGCAGTCAACATTAAGTGGTTACAACAGCACCTTGTAAAGAACTTTTCACACATAGCAGTACCATAACTTCTGCACACATATCCCTGTGTATTTCAACCAGGGTAATAGAATGGAGCTACCATGGAAGGTATGTGCTTTCTACAGGTGGTGCGAAAGAAGTTCATCATACATTCATTTAATTATTCATAATCAGCCATGGTATTGGTGAATGCCTCCACATTATTGTAATATAGAGATCTCTAGCATACACACACACATTGGATGTCCATGTTATATAAACAATGCTTATGAGAGTAACCTACCTGAAAATGAGGGCTAGCCACACACTTGGCTATTTGTTTGAACAAAGCCTCCTGGACTTTTACAAACTGGGAAGGTTCTATTACATCAAGAATCTCTTCGGCCTCACCCAGGAACATTACCTGGGAAGGAAACAGCACTTTAATCAGTATATGTGAACCCAGACAAATGCTCCGCTCATAACATACACCATTTTGCCCCGTATTTGTAATCAGATACACATTACCATTGTTATTGCGATTTTGCTTGTTAGAAGTAACTGTTTTGCTGTTAAGGGATACACAGAGCGGGGATTAAAAAATCCACCAGATAGATAATAGTTGTGGACACGAGTTCCTGCACTCAAGACAACTGTACAGATCGTATGTATGCAAAAATAAATCATGGGCACAGTCAAGTAGACCATACGCCATCAGGCAGAGATTTTAATTAGATGACATTGGATAGCCATTTGTAGCCCGAGGCAGAAAGGGCAGGGTGATGGATGAAAACAGCACCAAATGCTGCACAAATGTTGCAAAGGCTAAGGTGCTTAATCAAGCCAGTTCCTTTAACAGAGAGGCTCCCATTGAGCAGTTATCTTGTCATATTGTCACCATATCCGCGTTCAATGCATACCCTATATGCGATTTAAATGCAGCTTTATAAAACATCAGTACATAACGTTTTGCAGGGAAGAATAGAATTTCAGATCGCCGACAGGCATATTTGTTTTATTCACAGAAGTATGGGAATAACTAATTGTATTCCCAGCGAGATAACAATTTGGCACTATTTGATAACCATTTACAGGGTGCAGATACAATTGTTGTCTAAGTGGCACGTGGGTTTACTATAGCTGCATCTTCATGAGCAGTGCACATTAAAACTGTTAATTGGATGTTTGCATCACATCTCACCTCCTTCTGGCTGCATGTTTTGGGCCAATACTTGAGCAATCCCCGTATTACCTTAAATATCAATAACAAAAGTTAATGCGAGGGATGAGACAGTTTGGGTGTAGAGGTGGCCTCTAGTCACATTTCTAAGTTAGCATTTAATTCGTAAAAGTTTACATAAACATATTCAATCCTTAAATGTGTAACATTCGTTGTATCTGTATGAAAGCAATATTTATCACCAACATCTACTTTTTAGGAAAGTATTCCACATCAACGTTTACAGTGTGTGACAAGCACTATACAGTAAAACCTTGGATTGCGAGCATAATTCGTTCCGGAAACGTGTTTGTAATCCAAAGCACTCGTATATCAACGCACTCGTATATCAGTTGTGATCACGTGACGCTCGGCAGACAAAGCGTATACGTACTACTACTCGTATTGCAAGACCTAGCTCGTTTATCAAATTAATATTTATTTATAATGTTTTGCTCGTCTTGCAAAACACTCGCAGACCAAGTTACTCGCAATCCAAGGTTTTACTGTACATATATATACAGACCAAAACTTTTACATAAAGGATCTTTATACTCAAAAGTATGCATTATAGGGCTCACTACACTGCAAAAAAAAACACAAAAAGGGGTTGTGATCTTTCAACAAATTCCATAACAGTGAAAGCCTGGTCACCCGAGCAGGTTTGTAAGAGTATTGCAGTATAATCTTTGGTTAATGCGAGGAATGAAACAGTACTTACTGGTTCAGTCAATGTGGCATCTTTTTCCAAAAATTGCACAACACAGTATGCCAACTGAAAATAAATAAATAAAACATCAATGTATTATGCAGCATTAACAAATTGATACATCATATTCGTCTCCATTTACAATAATATGGGTATGTAAAACAATTGAGCAAAGTGTGTAATCACAACAAAGCTAGGACACAATTTAAACTTCAAAGCGTATTTATCCTATCTTACCTGTGCATGAAAAAGAGAAAGTCCTTTCGCTGTGTGCAAAGGTATAAGGACTTTGACGAGGAACTGCTTGTGTTCAGCCTTCAGTGGCAAGGCAAATCCATTGATTATGCTAAAATATCATACAAAACCATAGTAGCACTTTTAGTGTTAATATAATGACAAAATTATTTCATCGAAACAAATGTCACATTTTCAGTCTCTATTTTATTGTCTGAAACGCACGTCTATATTCTGTATTATCCGCTTCCAAAAAATATTTGGGGAAGCACATAACCCATCTTTACGACATACCCAAATGTAAAAAAATGACTTGTCATCAGATGCTGTAAGAGGAAAAACTTAATATTCAGGCTTACCTTCCTAAGATTTCTAGGAGCTCTCCAACACCATTGAAATGTTCAGTTTCATAAATAAACCTGAAAAAGGAAATGTAACAATACAATAATATAGTGTTGGAAGGCTTTGGGAATTATCATAAAAAAATAAAATATTACACAATGTAGTAATACAATGTAATTGTTTGTTAAATGTTTTTGTAAGAGTTTAATACAGGGAAAGATAACTGAACAATTACACAGTGTAATTTGAGTACACAAGGATTACAACAATGCCCTAGTTCTCCGTTGAGCAGTAGCCTCACCTTATAAAAATGTTGTTGATTTGTTTCCTAATAAAAGCCCTGAGCCCAAGGAACTTCCCATAGATGCGGTGAAGCACCGTCTTGAGGAAATCCCGCTCACGGGGGTCCTCACTGTCAAACAGGTCCAGAAGCTGCCAGCCAGATCACACAGCATTCAATGTGAACACTGCTCAACATCACCCACACCAATAATTGTATGCAGAGGGCCTAATTTCAGCTCAGCCTGGGTTGGTGACCCACAACATAGTTTTGCACATGGTATACCACATCTAGTATGCCTCCTGCTATGGCTGTGACTACTAGTCACGTGCATACTCCCATTACGACCGAGCATATATTCAGTAAGAAATTACACTCCGATTGTAAGCATTAAGAATGTAAAATTTTGGAATTCTTATGCTCACAATATGTGAATTGAATCATGGTTGTAAGCATTGAGTATGTACTCTTTATGCAAACAATATCTGAGTAATACCTTTAGGGTATTGGAAAGAACAAGGCAGGACATAAAGACAGCTAATACCAATTAAAATCAGATAAAAAAAGAATCAACTCTAGAATAAATTTATGAATCCAAGTAACAACAATGTATCTAATTATGGGAAGGAGATAAATATTTTTTACTCATCAAACAGCGGTGCAGCTCTTGAAAAAAAGTGTTATTTTCAAATTTTCAGTGATTTAACCTACTTATATTATTGGACACATACATGACAAATGATATGAATCTGGAATTGACAAGATGTTGGAAGAGTTCAGTTTTCAATGGAAATCTAAAATTGTTATGAATGAGATGTACACAACGTACACCTGCTACTGTGAAACTCAATGTTTCTTACCTGCAATACGAACTTTTGATCGATATATTTTTTTGCAATACTTGGTTGAAATTCTTGGTTTTCCAAGAATCTGAGGAATATCTCATATACAATCTGCAAAAGATAATGTTTATGTTGGAGTTATATGACATAACTATTGTTTTCAATGAACATGACAATATTTTACTTTTTTATAGGGGGGGGGAGTGCTTATCGTGAACTTTGTAAACATAATTACATGTTGTACTTAACTTCTATCTGAATAATACAAGTTACATGGCTCATTCACCAGAAAAGTTAAAAGTATGCTTCTCATGTAGTAATGAATGTACATGTATTAACCTGCAAATGTGGCCATGAAGCCTCCAGTGTGGGCTCGTCTTCCTCAGGATCAAACTCTGGATTGTCACTTGGTGGTAAAGTTCTGAATATATTACCAGCAATCTGTTTAAAGGGACAAACAGGTTTTACACTTCGGTATACATATCACACAAAGCACTGAACAAAGTAGGCATGTCATCGTCCTCTCACGCAATTTGATTGTTTAAGATATGGGCGTCAACCTAAAATACTATATATGTAGACATGCGAGAAGTACCCGGGGTTGCCCGGGCAAAAATTTGATTTCAAAACTACTCTTAAAAACCTTACATATACATACACAGATACCAAGCAATTGTGAAAGCCCGGTGGGCCGTTTGTCTGTTTCTCCACCAACAAAATTATAAGAGGCTTGCAGAAGTCCAAAAAGTTATAGAAAGTGGGGGGTAAATAGTTGATCTAAAAGGTTTGCGAAAATTGTCGACCCCCCCCCCTCAGAAAATATATTTACCCCCGCGTAGGTATACCTATACCTACACACCCTACATACAACAGAGTAAGTAGTATCTATTGACTCTGTAGTTGTATCTACTGACTGTACAGTCGTATCTACTGAGGCAGTAGTGGCTATTGACTGATTAGTAGTAGCTACTGACTGATTAGTAGTATTTACTGACTGTAGTAACTACTGACCATAGTAGTATCTACTGGGCCTACAGTAGTATCACCCCCCCCCCCCCCACCATGCCCCCGCCCGTGCTACAGTAATAATATCTAAGCGCTATAATATTAGTTACTACCGACTGTATAGTAGTAACTGCATGCATTGGGGTGGGTGGGGTGGGTGGGGTGGGGGGGGAACATCACACTGTGAAGAATTTTCCTCAGCGTTTTGTGTATATTTTTTGCATTTTTTTTACACGAAACAAATTTTCGCCCTCACCCCCACCAAACGCGTGTTAATTGGTATGGGCGAGTGCTCGCTCTTTAATAAATAAATGAAAACAGTACTAAATCGCAAATTTAACAACTTTAAAGGTAATGGATGGGAAAACGAAATAGCGCTGGCTCACCACGGGGCTTACAGCGTGGTACCTGGCTACTTTTTAAAAAGGTAAACCCCACGGTTTGCGAGCCAAATACTTCGCAAGTTTCGGCCGCACACACAGCAACCGCCATTCGCCACTAAGTGGCGGTGACGTCACGACGACGACGCTTGTGCCAGGCCATGTGCACCTTGAGGCCACGTGAAGTGTCAGCCGCGCACACACACACAGACAGACGGACAAACAATGACATTCATAGGTTAGATACATTCTAAACTGGTTAAATTTTATATTTTATTTAGATAGCTTATTTTGCCTTACAAGGAGATAATGTTGTTGGTAATGCATTGTCACTACTTGTTTCATAAGCAGTGCGATGCACACTTGGAAATAATTTTAATTTCCTATGTAAGCAATATAAGATTAAACGATTCCCATTTGGATCACCAAATGTGGCATTTGGGATGATGGCATGGAGGTGATAATCTCAGTGAATGATGCATGTTGCTACTGACGGAACCAGTGGGGGGGGGGAGGCTGGGGTGGCACGTGTCCCCCCAATGATCCGATCGAAATTAGGGATTTCGATCGGATCATTGGGATTTACCTTACATATAAACGTCATTTTTCGTCTGTCTGTCCGTCTGTCTGTCTCTGTGGAAGCACACTTGCGAAGGATTTTGCTCGCAAACTGTGGGGTATACATTTTTAAAAAGTAGCCGGGTACCACGCTGTAAGCCCCGTGGTGAGGCAGCGCTATTTTGTTTTCCCATCCATCAACTTCAAAGTAGTAAAATTAACAATTTAGTGCTGTTCCGCATTATTTAATTATTTCCTCGCACCGCCAAAGCTGCCCGGGGGTTGCCCCTAGCAATGCACACGCGTCATCGGTGTAGGGAGAGGGGATTTCTCATTTGTGTTCAAAATGCAAAAAAAATACACACAACGCGGAGGCAAATTCATCAAAGTGTCATGTCCTCTTCGCCTCCCCCCACCCCAATGTGTGCAATTACTACTATAGGGTCGGTAGATACTATTATAGCGCTTAGATAGTATTGTAGCCCGGGCAGGGGGATGGTGGGGGGGGGCTGGGATAGCGGCCCAGCCCCCAGCCTGCCCAGGTGCCACCACGGCCGGCTGGGCAATCTAGGCGAGGCCGGGGGCTCTGCACGGGACTAGGCCTCACCACGCCACTCTGTCAGGTGAGTACTTTGTGCTATAGAGTCGATATATACTGCTATAGTCAGCATGTACTACTGTAGTGATAGCAGGTAACTACAGTCAGTATGCACTGCTGTAATCATAGCACGTCCCACCAGTCAGTATGCACTGCTGTCGTGAAAGCAGGTACCACCATAGTCGGTATGCACTGCTGTAGCAATATCAGGTTACCACCACACTCAGTATTCACTGCTGTAGTGAAAGCAAGTACCACCACAGTGGGTATGCACTGCTGTAGTCATTGCAGGTACCACCACAATCAGTATGGACTGCTGCAGTGATAGCAGGTTCCACCAGTCAGTATGCACTGCTGCAGTGATAGCAGGTTCCACCACAGTCGGTATGCACAGTTGCAGTGATAGCAGGTAACACCACAGTTGGTATTCACTGCTGTAGTGATAACAAGTACCACCCCAGTCGGTATGCACTGCTGTAGTGACAGCAGGTAACCACCACAGTCGGTATGCACTGCTGTAGTGATAGTAGATACTGCTATCGAGTTGGTAGATACTGCTATATAGAGTTAGTAGATACTAAAACAGTCAGTATATACCCACTACGGTCAGTAAATACTGCTACAGACAGTACATACTACTATACAGTCAGTAGCTACTACTGGCTCAGTAGATGTTACTGTAGTCAGTAGATACAACTACAGAGTCAATAGATACTACTTACTCTGTTGTATGTAGGGTGTGTAGGTATTTTTACCTATGCGGGGGTAAATATATTTTTTGAGGGGGGGTGACGACAATTTATGGAAACCTTTTCGATCAACTATTTACCCATATTTTCTATTACTTTTTGGACTTCTGCAAGCCTCTTATAATTTTGTTGGTGGAGGAATGGACAAACGGCACACCGGGCTTTCACAATAGCTTAGTATCTGTGTATGTAAATGTAAGGTTGTAAAGAGAAGTTTTGTAATATATTTTTCGCCCGGGCAACGCCGGGTACGTCTCGCAAGTTAGTAATAAATAGGCATTTTGCGACCCCCACTGCCACTGTGTAGCATATTATTATGTGCCAGGGACTCTATGAGATGATAAGACAAAAGTCTGAGTCCATAATTGGCAATAAGAAATGGCAAAGCAGTTAAAAGTGACTCAAAGAATTCTGCGCAGTTACGTATACAGTACACGACTTCCCTGAAGGCATACCTTCAGCGAGCACGATGCCGACCCTCGATCGATGTCTGCGCCATCGCCGAACACGCGTCGAATAAAAAGCAAGGGATAAGTCCTTACTTACTAACAACTCATTACTTACTAACAACTCCTTACTTACTAAAAACTCCTCTATCATTTTTCATTGCTGGAGGGGTTGCCCCCCCTACCTAAAAATCCTGGCTCCGCCATTGCATGTTGCTCCCCATTAGAACCCGATCAATAGACCTTGGGTGATGAGTCACACATAGCACCCAGCACACAAACTATACTACTGATTTGGGAAACTGCAGCAACTGCAACATCGCAGAGTGTCCTGTGGTTTTCTAAATTAAGTTGTATAAAGGTCAATAATTCAATTATGATGACAAGATGGTTAAAGAAGTTAGGTTAACTGTCGCACTGGATGGACACAGATTTAGCAAAAGCTACTATATCAATCTACCACCTCCTGTTGGACAACTTGTCTCCAAATTTCACACTTACCAGTAATTATATGCAGAAAATACACAGCTATACATCCCCACTAACTTCTCTACTCACTGTCTACTTGTTTATTGTGCCTTGATACTATCTAATTTTGGATTGACTCAAACATTTTCCACCAAACTGATTATCACACTAGTAAATACATCCATACTCGATAAATATTAAAATACATTCACTCAGAGTGAAGCTACAGTATGCTCTTGGTTAACTCGGACACGGTTGCCAAGTGAGCAAAACCATGGCATTATCCTTGACCTCTCACATATTTGACCTTTGTGCGAACTACAACCTACAATCATGCAACATCTCCCGCACAGCTCACTTCCTCATCATATCTACTGATGCGACAGTTATCCATGCCATCATCACCTGTTGCCTTGATCATTGTAACCCTCTCCCTTACGGCCTCCCCAAATCCCTAATCTGCAAACTCCAATTGATCCAGAAAGTGGCTAACTCCTTACACACACCTGTAAAGGACATCACATCACACTCTAATTCCCATGTTCCTCAAAATATACAAGATCATTCACTTGTATCCCCTCTCAAATCGTTTTAATCTCTTAACAAGCCCTTTGGTCTGTTAGTTAATGCCCAGAATGGGATATCACTTCATCTGCTCTGCTGCCCTCAGGCTGAAACTCCCTCCTCCTAGCTGTACACCACGTCAAAATCCTTATTATTCAAATCCAGGTTCAAGATCTTCCTGTTCTTGTCTGCCTATGATATCTATCTCTATGACGTGCCATCGTTCTGTCTTGCAGCCTCCTACCACCGATTATATTTCCCTTGCTGCTAAGATGTCCCCTATTTGTACAGCGTCATGAGCTGCATTTGAATTTAGATGCTTATGAAATAAATACATGCATTATATTAGAATAGGGCCCTAACATCATAATAAGAAATGTCAGAGGTTAAGGAAGGATTTCTCACCTCACCACAGCAGGATTCCATATTTACACATGTCCTGTAATGTGCTGTAGGTTGCACGCAATGTCTTTAAAAAGACCGGTGAATGGTGGGGTCAATGGAATGGAGTTTTGTACTTTCGAGCATAACATGTTGTAGAATTCAAAAAAGGTATAATTCGCTCAAAAATAATCGACATGTAGGTATGATGAACAGTTTATCAGAAAATGTCATGGACTTATATGCTGCACTTAAAACTGTGCACATCTACGCACATCTGCATAATACTAATGAGAATACAATTGCCCCTTACCATGCGGACCATGTCTGGGTAGACGGCCTCTGAAAGGATGCCCCGGCCTGTGGTGATGTAGTCCACCAGCTCATTGAGAGCCGCCCGTTTAATCTCCTTGCCTTTGAGATCTGACACGGAGTCCATGAAGTCAAAGATGACACAGCACTGCTGCAGCTTCTTCACAAACAGCTCCGGCTGTTCCAAGGCTGCCACATCTGCAGCCATAATCAGAACACGTTAGCAAAGACTCGTGATTACACGACCAAAATGCACACACTCACGTTAAATGAGAAAATGACGGAATTACAATTAAAAGAACAACATGAGTAAGGTTACAATCTCAGCGCATGCAATCTATAAAACATAATTGTAAAATTTTCAACGTTCTTAAGCACATCGTCTGTTTATTGTGTAAATATTGGCAAGCCTTGAATGTTTTATTTTACACCACAAATCAAAATACGTGCATTATCGTGTTATTGCCCTGTTTAAACACTTATGGCTTATTTTATTTAAACCCAGGTGACTACCATTGAGATATGTCTCACAGAGTGCAACACTTGTAAGTACTAATCAAAAAACGTAGCCCAAAACATATATACGCGATCTAACCCAAACATTTTGTTGACAACAAAATCCCAAAGTATATGTCAACATAGCTCATGTGAACAATATGCATAAACAGCAACTAAAGCATTATGTAAAAAAAATCTAAGTAATTTCCCCAATATTTAGGAAATTGCATAAAAGCATTCCATCAACAAACCAAGACTTGTTCATGTTGAAATAGGTATCAGCTGGTAATGATGTCACAACAAACATTAAACAACGCGATATTTTCCCTCAAGTTAGTGGGCAATTCTAAACCAAGTAACATAAATGCATTATTTAACTCAATACCTTTTAGTCCCATTAATTAACCTTGACAATGTCTACAACTATAAAATACATAAATCTATGAGGATAATTTGCAAAGCAACAAAATGATGACATAATTCACAAATATAACCACGAAACAAAATATCTCCTCATTTGTAAATCAAACATCCATGAGACCTATTAAAAGGATGGAATTACACGAAAACATTCTAAGATACTACATTTTAATTTATTAATTAAATTCAAAGGCCAGTTATAAATGAATTGTTGTACACAAGCAAATCACAGTGCACATACTAGTAATCCACTTGTCACGTTGGTTATTACACTTTGTGCATGAACTATTACAGGTCGTTGTGCTGTAATTATATGCTCCCTGTCGTCACCAACTTGCAATGACCGGTGTGGTGAAGTATGGTTAAAAGACCCCAAAGCAAGGAGCTCTTATCCAGCAGTATATTTACATGTACACATTCATCACCACCATCACAATCCATGGGCAGAGAGCCCGTAGGTGTCCACTGCACATTTCGTCATCTGTTCCACTTTCCTGTCTTGTGCCAATATGCTCAAGTAGTGCCACATCTTTCTGGCACCACATTACAGATCTATTATTTGTGGTACATTACATATTTCCATTGGACAACACATCTCTTGATTTACAAAATTAGCTACTTAACTTTTTGAAATTTGTAAAGGGAGGTTAACATATTAAAAGGGTGGTGTTTGTTTAGATGTCAATGGAGCTTTTAGTCATGAGAGCAAACGATAAACACTTTGGATTAACACGTAGATCTAACCCAAAAAACCTTTATTATGAATAAACACTTTGACCCAGGAAAGTGCATAAACATTCCTTCTTCTTATTCTTGATTCTTTCGGTAAAGTCACGTAGAAGGGAAACAATATAATAATAAAAATATAAAACAATTAAATTCTCACGACGTTTCGACTGCAACAAAAGCAATCATCATCAGGTGTGAAAACCACAGCAAGAATTTTTTCTTGCTGTGAAACGTCGTGAGAATTTTATTGTTTTATATTTGTATTATTTTATTGTTTCCCTTCTACGTGACTTTACCAAAAGAACCAATAATATGAATCCCTGCAGTCACGAAAGCTTTAAATGAAAATTTATTCCTTCTTCTTCGCATGTTGTCCACAAGCTTCCCAACCTGCCATTTGCACACTTCACCATTTCCTACCACTATTTTTTTTCCAAAGCAATATCTTAAGAGCCCTTGTTTAGAACAATTGAAACCTACAGGAAATTAGTCAAGTATAGCCCACATTCAAACGACACCTATTCAGTTGGACAATACTGATCATGTTTAAAAAAACAATTAAGTAATTATGTATTCCATGTCAATCCACTGTCCTTGTCAATCCAATGGATAAAGGCCATGTAGGTCTTGCGGGTCGTTTGACCATACTTAACCACGTTGGCCATTTCCAGCTCGTGAGGGGGGACGAAATCTGGTTCATATATCACACCACTGACTTGGGTGGGTGGGAATCAACCTCAGGAAACAGTATTCATAGTGCAGTGCATTAACCATTGGGCCACCACTTCATATCTTGAAATAGCATGTTTAATACTTGAATTTCTGTTTTGCTATTACCACAATAGAGTTATAAAATACAGCCTATCATGGCTAATGCACTTGGCTACAAGTGACCATATTCTGCAGTCAATACAACACTGCAAAAGCTCCTGCATGCTAGTTGTGAATCCCAACTAGCGTACTTCATTCACACGAACACATACAGGTAAAATACACCATAATTACAACAATTGATTCTTCTTTGTGGTGTTCTTTATTATTTGTAATTAATGTAATACTTCCTACATGTTTGTTTATGAAATAAAATATCATCTAAAACCATCAGTTATAAAAGTAATATTCCAAAAATGTGCACAGGCAACAATGTTCTGCTTTATCTAGTTTACCAGAATCTGACATAAAAACCCACGGACATTGCACCACTCGCATTGCATGCGAGTTGCCACAGCGGTAATGAACATTCATGTTGGCAGCTCGTGCACGAGTCGCTGAGGCTAGCCAATGACTGAAATTCACAATGGCAGGTCAAGGTGTTATTTAATTTACAGCAGTTTAATATTAACGCCTTTCAAATATTGGAGTAAAAATTATGTTTTGCATAATCAAAAGTGGTGTAATTTACTATTTATACTGACAATCTATCTCTCTGAAACTGTGCTCAAAAAGTGGGTCTCAGTGTGAATTAACTCTCAAGAGAATTAGAATAAATTTAGCATTTTGTCTCAAAACAGCCTTGGTTTTTTACATATATAAGATAAATGATATCACAAAAAAATGCAAATGGTTTAATTCTGTAATTAACTCAATAAAAAATGGGCTCATATTAATAGGATTAATGTTTCATTGACACACCTGACCCAGCATTACGGAACACTGGGAGGGGAATCACATTGTGTACAGGCCTAGACTGTGTAATGCTGACCAAAAACAGCACTTGATAAAAAAGCAGTAGCACCTTAACTGCTGCTCATTTAAGGATGGACTCTGTCATTCCAGTGTATGTTTTGGCACCAGCAAGGTCACAAATGGGTCAAAAGCATGACTCCATGACAAGGTATCCGTTTAATAAACATAGCTGCTAAAATTTTAGATTTTTCCACACAATGGAATGGAAATAATACCCACACTTTTTAAGTAACACACTATTTTGACTACACACTGCTAATGACACATACAGTACGTGCAACTGCCTCTTGGATGCATTTTATTTATACCAAAATGTATATGTCAGCACCGTTAACCCAAAACTGCAGCGCATATTAAAAGTATACCGTTCATTGGACAGGAAACAAAAATAAAATATTTCGTATTACATACTTTTGATAAGACGTCTATGGCAGCCAACATGAACAGACTATTGAGAGAAACAGAAACTTTTATCTTGTTTGATGTTTCACAAAAGAGTCAAAATGTATGCATACTGACTGCAGCTGCATATGTATAGTCCAGTGCACATTCTCAATATTGTGCCCCAACGTAGGTATTAGTTATTATGAAAACTGTATGTTATAAAGCATATAGCACTTAAAATTAAGATACGTCTCCAAAGAAAACGCATTGCTAAACAGTCCTGTTCAACAAAACAACCAAACATTAAAACCATGAATAATCATCTTTGTAAGCACAATAATAAAGGAGGTGATGGCACACGCCGTGAGTGGAGCATGACAAACGCAATGTTGCTGGTCTGGACTCGCTTTTTGGGTACGGCCGCCCCAGGCAAGGAGCTTTACAGGTTAGAATGCACAACTGCAGTGTTCTAAAAATAATGTTGTGACCTGTTAAGCAAACAAATTCTGACAGATAAACATTTCCGCCATTTCAATATTGACATAAAACAGATACAGTAGTACATTTAATGTGACTACAAGCTTAGTGGGTGATAAACTATTCACTGAAAAACATTCCAACACCATTCAATTGAGGAATATGCTCTTCCAAAGATGTGTCAATGTAACTCATTTCACAAAATCCCAATGTACCATAACCATAAAAGAAGTCAACAGTTCCTAACAATACTTCCAAACTCATGCCATACATGATGTATATGTTGTATTTATATCACAAAAATTACAACACTTATGGCAGACAATTGTGAAACCAAAGATAGCTTGGCATTGGTAATGAACTACTGAATAGCAATCTGGTCAGCTCTTCTTCCAATGTGCAGTCTATGTCGGTATGGCTGCACTAAAATATATAAACCACCAGCAGTTAATATGCTCATTCGTGAAAATGCATTCATATGTGCAATTATGTTAACACGATATTCAGTTACTCTTTCGATTAACACATTTTCAGAATGTTCGTGGATACAGTAGGAAAATTTACGTTCAGCACGATGCTTTTGAATGTTACAAGCATTATTCTTTGGGTTTTTGGAATTCGAAGATTCCCAGTATACTTAAACCATTACAGGACGGATAAGCATGGCCATTTTGGTTCACACTACATTGGTCACGTTTATGCACGTTACACATCAACAATGTGCCAAGGACATGGCGTTATTCTCAAAAGGTGCACTACTACATCGCCGTCAAACAAAGCACGTACGTCTCTGTAAATTCTACACGAGTCTTATTTAATGTGTGTGTGTGCAGAATATAGTGAATGACGGGCTGAAGAACGAGTGCGTGGGTCACAGTTTGGACCCTGGCCGGGTCTGAAACGCATCTCGGTGGGCCACTGACTCGCCCGTGTCCGAGCACCTTGCCAGGGATCAGAACGGCAGCATTCAGGTGCGAGTGACGAGTTATGGCACGGACGAATTACCAAGCACGATCGGGTGACAATAGAGGGACAGGGTGAGATTAAGAATCTGTTAAGGTATGATGGGATTAAAGAGCTGGAAAGGATGAGAAGGGCTAAGTAAGAAGGTTAGGTGGCATAAATGATCGCTCCAGCAGTGGGATGTAGAGAAAGGATGGAATGGAAAGAGACGGGGTGAGATTAAATGCCGGGTAAGGCATCATAGGATGATGGTGGGGGATAAGGGGTTGTGAATGGAATAAACGAGTGTGTCTGGTGACACCTTCGCCCACATTATCCACCTGTTTCAACAACAACAACAACAAAAAACACCGATCGACATCTTCAATCAAACGCTGCGAGCGACCACAAACGCAGGAGAGCGAGCCCGAGTTGAAGGGCCCTCCCGTCCGCCATCGGTGGGGGGGCTGTGTTGGTGGTGGTGGTGTGTGTGTGGGGTTACCTTTGAGGTGCGGCAACGGCGTGAGCTCGACGAGACAGAAGGTACGGAACTGGGAAGATCCCTGCGAGCGCTTGTGGCGCCCACCGCGGCGCAGAGACTTCCTGCTAAAGCCGTCCACCTTCTCGGCCGCTGTCGCTGCCATTTTACTCCCCCCCCCCACGCCGCAGCCGCCGCAGCCGCCGCCGCCTCTGCCGCCCCCTCTGCGGCCTTCGGGGCCCCGGCCTCCCGCCTGCTCGAGCCCTGCAGCCTCTCTTCTCGAGTCCTCCCCGCTCAAGATTCACACCCCACACCCCACCCACCACCCACCCGCTCAGCCTCCCACACTACCTCGAACCTCCCCGGCCCCACGAGCCTCCTCCACTGGCCGACCCCCCGCTCGTCACGGGGATTAAGGTGAGGAGCTACGGTCGTCGTTTAGGGGGGGGGGGGGGCACGCTGCATGAAGCGTCGGCGTGAAGGGAGGAGGAGGATCGGTGATGGCGAGGGAGGAGGAGGTGGTGGTGGTGATGGTGGTGAAGATGGTTAGGGAGGAGCTTAATGAAAGGGAATTGAGCGCGAATAGAAGCGGAGGTGACCACGAGGATGCGAACGATGCACAGATGATGTTGTGGAGGAAGAGCAAGTGGCGAGATTGTTGATGGTGATGCCGAATACGATTATTAAGAGCGGTCACTAGTGATACTGGGGGGTTTTTTAAATGAAGGGATGATTCTTGTCGATGCTGTGGTGATGGTGTTAATGTTATCAATGGTTTCGATACGGAGGGTGATGTTTGCTGACAGTAACGATGACGGTGTTGATAATGCTGCTGCTGCTGCTGCTACTGATTACGATATGGGGTAGGTAATAACGTGTAGCTGCTGGTGATGATGATGGTGGTGATGTTGACGTTTTGAGTCCGAATTTGTGTCACTTCTCCTCCCCCGCGTCTCCCGATCGCCGCTTCATCCGCACGCGCATCGCGGCGCGCCCCGCGGTCGCCTCGCTACGATTACAAAAAAATATATTTATACACACACACACGTATATATACACGAACCGATTTAACGCACACGGGCCTCACTACCCCCTGAGGATACGAAGAATCTCGCCCAGAACGCGAGGAGGGAAGAGGCGGACGAGAAAATACAAAGGGCGGTGGTGGTGGTGGCGGTGGTGGCCGCGGCGTTTTGCGGCGGCGTCGCCACTCGCGGGCCCGGGACTCCCGAGCCGCTACGGGCCGGCCCGCGTCTCACGTGACGCCCAACGCCGCGCGCCCATTGGGCCGCCACGCGGCGTGACGTCGCGCGTTAAAGGGAGCCGCGAAAACCTGGCTCCGGGGTGCGGTGGGGGGGGGTCATGGTGGGGGGTCATGGTGGGGGTCAGGGTGGGGGGGGTCAGGGTGGGGGGGGGTCGGGGTGCAGTGAGGTCAGGGAGCGGTGGGGTATTGGTGCGGTGTCAAGGTGCAGTGGGGTCAGAGTTCAGTGGGATCACGGTGAGGTGGGGTCAGGGTGCGGTGGGGGTCAGGGTGGGGTCAGGGTGGGGGGGTCGGGATGCAGTGGAGTCGGGGTGCAGTGGGATTAGGGTGCAGTGGGGACAGAGTGCAGTGCATTGGGGTCAGAGTTCAGTGGGATTAGGGTGCAGTGGGGACAGAGTGCAGGGGGGTCGTGTGCAGTGGGGTCAGGGTGCGCATGGGGTCAGGTTTCAGTAGGGTCGTGGTGTAGGGGTGGGAGTCAAGTGCAGAGTCAGGTAGTCGGTTCAGGGTGTAGGGTCTGTGGTCAGGGGTCAGAGTGGGGTGTGTGGTCAGGGTGTAGGGTCTGTGGTCAGGGATCAGAGTGGGGTGTGTGGTCAGGGTGTGGGGTCAGAGTGGGGTGTGTGGTCAGGGTGTAGGGTCTGTGGTCAGGGGTCAGAGTGGGGTGTGTGGTCAGGGTGTAGGGTCTGTGGTCAGGGGTCAGAGTGGGGTGTGTGGTCAGGGTGTGGGGTCAGAGTGGGGTGTGTGGTCAGGGTGTAGGGTCTGTGGTCAGGGGTCAGAGTGGGGTGTGTGGTCAGGATGTGGGGTCAGAGTGGGGTCTGTGGTCAGGGTGTGGGGTCAGAGTGGGGTCTGTGGTCAGGATGCAGGGTGTGTGATCAGAGTGCGAGCTTCTGCGTGTACTGGAGTGTTGTATGCTGGGTGTAGTGGGGGAGCGGTAGTGTAGTGGTTAACGCGCTGCGCGATGAACCTGCGAACCCGGTTCAATTCCCACTCACGGCCAGTCTGAACTGGTCCGGGACCTCGCCTAGGTCTACTCAGTCTCAAATGAGTACCTGATGTGGTATATAAACATCGCCATAGGGAGACAAAGGCAGTCGGGCGTAGTACCACCCACCCCCTCGTGTACCGTGCCGGCCTTCATAGGTGTTCGCCCACATCACTGAATCCCAACAATCTGTTACGGCTACACGGGGGGAGTCTTTGTCGTCAACGCTGGATTGAGAAGGTGCTGGGCCGGGTGTGTGTGAGTGATGGGCGCGCTGGGGATGGGATGCACCCTGCAGGCTTGAGCGCGTTCTCTCGGTGAATAAAGAACGCCGCTCTCACGACAATATACGGCCAGTGCGTGAGCCTGGCCGGTAGGGGGCGTGCGATTGGGCAATGTCTGCGTGAGAACAGAACACATTCCTGCGGAGGGAGCTGGTAGTAGGAACGTTGGGTTGCTCGGTCAATGGCCAGGGTCAACGGCGGCACCACCACGTGGTGTATTCCGCACAATATTCCCGACTGTGAGGGCGGGCACAAGCCGGCGTGAAGGGTGGGGACCGAGTGGGGACCTGGTATGGTGGAGAGAGAGAGAAAAAAAGCTGTTCCTTAAAAAAAGAGTACAATACCCACGAATTGGCGGCTTATAATGTAGAGATTGAGAGCAGCCGTATACTCCAAACGCACGTTGTTGATTCTCCACGTGGAGGGAAAAATGTCGTGAAGATGGCCGGATGTGGTTGGTTCCTACCAGTATTATTTTTTTTTTAAATGATGCCTCAAGAGAGGAAGAGCTGTCAACTGGTAGCAGGGCTGCGCTTGACGACTCGCCGCACCAGCGTTTTCCTCATACAGGAAATGTGTGAAATTTCAGCATGGGACAAATGACAAAGCCATAAATGCGTGAGACACGGTTTGTGTCCGGTACTGTCTCCTGATGTACGAAGGCACGCTATTGCCATCCCACACGGTCCTGCGATGACGCAATCCATCTCACTCGTGCACATGGGCTGATCTCATCATCGTCGTCGTTGGTATGTCCCCTCATTTGGCTACCATTCCATAACCACTCTTAACCCCCATTCATTATCCTTTGCAACAATGTGTTCCGGCCAAGCCCACTTTTCTCATCGGTCAATATTGCCTGGGTAAATTTCCATACCGTAGGTGGCCTCAGATAAACTGCCTTCAACTACGAGCCGGCACAAATCAAAGCACTCGATGTGTGCCCGGCCAGGCACAAATGCCCCCTACGCTGGCAGCAGCTGTGGCAGTTTAAGGGTGACGGATGTGAGTAGATGCCCACTCTTCCCAGCTTGTCGCCTGATTAAGCAACTTCTTCATCTTTCAATTAATGATCTAGCAAACGGGATTGTAGATTTTTATAAGTGCTTGCCCTTTTTGACTTGTGCAATGTTATTGTGTGAGGTACAGTATATGAATGTGACGCAGTATTAATTAACGCACAGCTAGATTAAACTGAAATCGATTATTTAATTGTGCATACTAATTACAATCAGAAGATACATCAGACAAAATGTTTCTTATATAGGTGACCTTTTAAAATGCTCATCTAGAATGTGATTACCGTGAATGGAAAGCAGTAAGAACACATGATCCAAATGTAGGTGATGTCCATAATTAATAATTTTAATAATATGTGACATATTCTTGGTTCTTTCGGTAAAGTCACGTTGACGGGAAACAATAAAATAATAAAATATATAAAACAATTAAATTCTCACGACGTTTCGACTGCACACTGCTTGTGTTGCAGTCGAAACGTCGTGAGAATTTAATTGTTTTATATATATATTTCATTATTTTATTGTTTCCCTTCACCGTGACTTTACCGAAAGAACCAAGAATATGAATCACTGCAGTCACGGAAGCTTTAAATCAAAAGTTAATATGTGACAGTTTAGGTGTTCCATCATATCCACGTTTTTTTTCTATATCCCTCCCTGGTATGAAAGATAATAAACCATTTGGTATAACACACACAATGTACCTCAACTTCCTCAACCGACACTTTGATAAGATAGGCATATCATGATTTTTCGAGCACGGTAGGAGCATGCCTTTGAACTGGACATGCAATTAATATTTTTAGCAGCTCAGGTGATGGCTTTAATTGGGCAGTATATACACAGCTCGTCACTCGGTCGCTTTCTAATTATACTGCATCAGAATGTTAATGAAATCATGCCTGTAGTGGTGCGTGTACATTGCTGAAATGAAAAATAATATTTTGCACGTCTTTTTTCTATGGTCGTTTACTTCGACAGTACATTCACAGGATGACCATTCTGTGTGCCATCGCAGACTCGGAGAGAGCTGCCTGCAGAATTCACCAACAACCGCCATTCGACACTAAGTGGCGGTGACGTCACCGCGACGCTTGTGCCAGGCTATGTGCACCTTGAGGCCACGTGAAGTGTCGAACGCCCGCTGGCAGGAGGTCACGGGACCGACCCAGGTGCCACGGGTCGACTGACTGAGACGACTGGCAGATGCACCACCTGTGCCCCCTACTGTGCCAACTTGCTGTGCTTTAGCCACCCGGTGCTCTGCTCGTTGTTGTGAGCGTCGCTCATCCGCCCTCCGTTGTTGTTGGAGGTCGACTGCCTCCAAATGCCCAGTAGCAGCGTCCTTCACGAGCCTCCTCCACAGAGGCCGATCTTGACACCGCTGGTACGAGTCATCGACAAGTCCACTCAGCTCCACGTCCTCCTGTACCACATCACTCCATCTCTTCTCTAGCCCGTGCCGCGCCTGTTTAGCAGAATTCACCACCACCTCTTTCACAGGCGACGTGGCACCCCCAATCAGCATCCAAGTAGCACCTAATCATAGTTCACAAACAGTGACCCCTTAATACTGTGACCTCTTAATACTGTGACCTATATAAATTGACCTATTAAAAGTGTAAAAAAACTTTTATTTTATACGTGGAGTACAGATTTTTGAAATTAGTTAAATTGTCTACTTAGTTTTTTAAAATAAAAAAAACTATCTCCTTGCAAACGCGTATTTATCTGCTAGGGGAAACT